CATGAGCTGGGGGAGAAGGCAGCTGGGATAGAGAAGAGATCACTTAGTCAATGATGGTTGGAGGGATCATTTGGGATGTGTACTGAAAGCAGATAAAGGATCAAACGTGATAGCGTCTCAGTATCTGTATTGCAAACCATAATGCCCTAAAGTAGAGAATATGGGGGAAATTGTCTGCCACAGAGGCAGGGGGAGGGATGGGTTGGGGGAGGAACCCAGGGACATTGGTGGTGGAAAATGTGCACTGGTGGAGGGATGGGTGTTCGACCATTGTCTGACTGAAACTCAAACATGAGAGCTTTGTAACTATATCTCACGATGATTCAATAATTAAAAAAAAAAAGTCTGGGTAACTCCGTGTTGGAAGGATGACTGGTGTGCAGTAAACGCTCTGGTTTAGACTCATCTCATGAGTGACCTGACTTTGATCTCAGTCTTCTGCCTCTGGCTTCTGACTGCATATATCCAAAGGCTCTTCAAATCATCCCTCAAAGACAGGGCTCCGGCAAGAGGCTCCTGGCAGACCCTGTATGTATGCGGTCTCGGTGTCTCCTTTTTTGTGCCTCTTCCAGCTGAAATGCTCAGGCCTATCCGCCTGCCTGGACCCCGGGCTTCTCATTTCTATTTCCCCTGCACTTGTTACTCTGCGGATGTCTCAAGTTTGAATACTGTGGCTGGGGTCCTAACTAGGTGCATAATTGGGGGATAATTTCCTGTTTCTCCCGAGTTCAGGTGGGGGAAATTGATGATCTCAAGTTTAGCCTAACCCTCCATCTGCTCATTTCCAGAGAGTTCCCTCCCCCTCCCTAAGGAACCCAAGGCAAAAACGCAAAGCCACAGTGGGAAAGCCGGGAGCAATTTTGTTGTCATCCACTGAGCTCAGCCATCCCACTGGGCACACGAACCCAAGCCCTTGGGATCTGAACTCATCTTCCCTATTTTATATCGGGATCCCCGGCAGCAATCCCAGGACCACCCTCCAGTTTTCCAGTGCTTTCTCCCCTTCACCACATGCAAGTGTCAGGGAAATACAGGAAATGTGTCTTCATGGGGATGTCTGTGGAGAAATCACTGCTTTCGCCTCTCTTGGACTCCATTTGATTTGTGGTCACTAAGCAACAAACAGACTCTGAGAGGCTACAGGATTTTGTGGCGAATTTGATCCTTTTCCCCATCTGTGTGGATTTCGCTCTGTTCCTTGTCTTTTCCTTTCTTACCTCCTGGGACTGCAGAATGACCCCAAGAGCTAAAATTTCTGACCAGAGAGACAGATAGTCAAGCAGAATCCATCTCTTTAAGCACAAACGAAATGATTTAAGAAGAGATGGTTAAACTAAAAAGTCATCTCTCAGAACGTGGGCCTTAAACATTCCTGCATCTTACATGCTTAGTTGTAGAATACATGAGAATTAGCCCCTATGCTGGATAATTGCCGCTTTGTTGGTTTTTTTTTTTAAATGGATTTTACTTTTATTTTGAGCAAAAGGAGAAAGCTTTCAAAAAATTATAGTGTAGGTAAGATTAACTTGCCATTCAACACAATAGTACATAAATGTATGGTATGTATGGTATTAAATTAGTTAAAATGTATGGTATTTGCTCGAGCGGGCCCAGTAACGTCTCCATTGGAGACTTTGTTGTTACTGTGTCTGGCATATCGAATACGTCACGGGGAGCTTGCCAGGCTCTGCCGTGCGGGCGAGATACTCTTGGTAGCTTGCCGGGCTCTCCGAGAGGGGCGGAGGAATTGAACTCGGGTCGGCCATGTTGGCTGCGTGCAAGACAAACGCCCTACCGCTGTGCTATCGCTCCAGCCCAAAATAGGTAAAGGCCCTCCCGTTGTTCATCGATTTTCTCGAGCGGGCCCAGTAACGTCTCCATTGGAGATTTCGTAGTTACTGTGTTTGGCATATCGAATACATCACGGGTGGCTTGCCAGACTCTGCCGTGTGGGCGAGATGGTATGGTATTAATGTACAAAGCTACAGCACTGCCCAACCCCAAGAATGAAAATTTTTTGTTGTCAATTTTGGGGCACACCTGGCTGTGCTCAGGGCTTTCTCCTGTCTCTGCACTCAAGGGTCACTCTGATGGGTCTGGGGGACCCTATAGGGTAACTGGGAATTAAACCTGGGTTCTGCCTTGTGCAAGGCAAGCACCTTACTGACTGTACTATCTATTTTAAAGGCCCCAGGAATGAAACTTTTTTTTTTTTATGGGTTTTTGGGCCACACCCAGCAGTGATTACTCTGAGTGATTACTCAAGGATTACTCCGAAAACTGCACTCAGGAATTACTCCTGGCAGTGCTTGGGGGACCATATGGGACTCTGGGAACTGAACTTAGGTTCTGCCTTGAGCAAGGCAAGTACCTTACCAGTTGCTCTATCTCTCTGGTTCCAAGGGTGAACCTTTTGAGAATCCTGGTAGTGTTCAGGGGCCCAGATGGGGTCTCAGGGAAGGAACTGGGGTCAGCCACAGGCAGCACGAGCACCTCACCCCTATACTAGCTCACTGGCCCTCTTGCCTTCTTAAGTTTTATTTTAAAATGTGTATTATTATGCATCTTATTTTGTCTACATTCTGCCCCAGGTGTAATTTGAAAAATCTTTTCTGGGTAAAAGGAGGAATTCTCTGATCTCTTGCGTTCTTCCTGGGAGTGGATTCTAGTTTCAGATGTCTAATCTTCATGAGATTGGCATCATTTTTCTTTAAAATCTACAGCTTGGCACAGTGCCTGGCATGTAGGAGGGGCCTCAGGGAAAGAGAGAAGGGGAAGGAACTTTGTACAGCATCCCAAGCACCACTGTTTATAACTAGAAGCAGGGAGGCTAACAATCCCTAAGTGTAAGCAATCTTTAGTAGAAAATTGCAGTGCAGCAGATAAGGAATTTACCTTGCCCGAGGCTCATCCAGGTTCAATGCCAGACGCCACAGATGGTCTCCCAGGCCCCACTAGGAGCAATCCCTGAGTACAGAGCCAGGAGCAAGCCCTGAGCACTATTGGGTACGCCCCCCCCCCCCCCAAACCACCACCACCAAGAATAACAACACAAATACTCCTGTTTTCTCTTGGGCAACACCCCAAGAACCTTATTTCAAATCTGAGTTTGCATAGACTCAGGCGTCTGCTTAAGCAGAACCCTCAGATCTTTTAAAATTTAAAATTGTAATTGCATTTTCTTAAACTTCTGGTGAGGTTCCAGGGACAATGTGAAGGATCAGCATTGCCCCCCTCCCACCCCCAGCAGGCCCACATGATTACATTTTAAGGGTTGATATTTTAAAAAAATTAAGAAGAAAAATAGATAAAAGAAATCCTTATAACCAAAGCACCACAATCAGAAATCTTAAAAAAAAAAAAAAGTAGCTCTAATATACAACTAAATGTGTTGTACAAACTCTTCTTTAAACTTCTGTGTTATTGGTGGTGATTTTGGAGTGGCACTAGTGCATTGGGACATGTAGGGCGGGGGAATCTAACTGGACATCTCGCCTACCTGTGGAGCCTCTTTGGTATCCCTTCTAAACTTTTCTCTGGGGTAGGAGTGTACCCAGCAATGTTCAGGGTATGCTTCCAGCTCTGTACTCAGGAATTACTCCGGGTGGTGCTAGGGGGACCATATGCGATGCCCGGGATTGCACCTGGGTCTATGGAATGCAAGGAACACGCCCTTACCTGCTGTACGATTGCTTTTCTTCACCCCCATGCCCCCTCTCGAAACTTCTTGAAAGAATAAACTGTGTCTTCTCTTTCTGGATGCCTACAGCTTCTGAAATTGTTCCCTGAACTTAGTGAACTGACAACGAAATAGGAACAATAACGAGATGGCAATTTCCCATATGTATGGTAGCATCCTCGAGGCTGTGCTAATCAACATTCAGCTCGCGATTCCCGGGTCCGTGGCCACGTGCGCCCTCTCGGCGGACCCACGCCAAGTTTCATCCACACTGAGCCGTTTCTGCTCGGCAATTTACACATGTGCTGGCCGCGCTCCGCACCTGCCAGGATCGCAGTAATTAGCTGAGAATGCAAAAACACGATTTCTAAATTAAGAGTCCCCCGACGGGTAAGATCACAGAGAGCCTCCTCCTGAACGTGGGAGCCAGGGAGTAACGGGTTCAACAACTAGGACAAGTCCGGTTCACCCTGCCACCTTCCAAGTTTGCGTGCGCTTACGATGCAGGTGAAAGAAATCCGGGGAATCATTGCAGGGCGAGGGCCAGCGTGCAAACATCATTTAAAACTGCGCCCTTAGCGCCCACCTTACCTACACACGCGGCCTGAAGGACTGGCCGGAGGTTGGGGCTGGCGGGGGGTCTGTCCAGGGAGTCGGAGCAGGGAAAAGTTAGCCAGGTGAGACCTCAACTTGGGTACCCTGGCCGGGGGGCTCGGGGGATGCCGCTGGGACCTGGGAGGCCGGGGGGTCCTGGAGAGAGCAGCGAGCAAGCCAGACGCGCGTGGGCTGCGCAGAGTCCCCAGGCCGGGGCGAGCCTGGCGCGGCCTCCCGACCCCGGAGACCAGCCCGAGACGGCGGGAGTGGGCGGAGGAAGCCGGCGGAGGCGCGAGGGCAGCGGAAGAGGAGGGCGAGAGCGGGAGGAGAGGCCCGGGGAGGAAAAGGGGGCGGCCGGGCCGAAGGGACCCGCCCCTGCGGGCGGCCTCGCCGGCTCCCAGCCTCGGGCCGGGCCTCCCCTAGCCTCGGCCGCCCAGCCCCGCGCGCGCGCGCACCCGCGCGCCCGCCCGCGCGCGCGTCCGTCCCTCGCGAGCCCCCCCCCCTCGCCCGCGCGCCCTGGCACTCGGGGCATGCGCGGTGGGCGGCGCCGCGGCCGCGAGTAGGAAGCGCGAGCGCCGGGCTGTCAGTGCGCGCGGGGCCGGCCAGCGGGCGAGCGAGCCGCGAGCGCCTCTGCTCCCGCGCCCCGAACTCCCCGGCGGGCGGGCGGGCGGGCCGGCCGCGGCTTTCCCCCTCCGCCGCCAAGAAGCGGAGGCAAGAGGTGGTCGGGGGGGTGGGTGGGGGGAAACCATGGCTGACGTTTTCCCGGCCAACGACTCCCCGGCGACCCAGGACGTGGCCAACCGCTTCGCCCGCAAAGGGGCGCTGAGGCAGAAGAACGTGCACGAGGTGAAGGACCACAAATTCATCGCGCGCTTCTTCAAGCAGCCCACCTTCTGCAGCCACTGCACCGACTTCATCTGGTGGGTGCGCGCGGCGCGCGGCCGGCCCGCTCGCTCGCTCGCTCGCTCGGGGAACTTGGGCAACGCGCGCGGCAGCGGGAACTCCGGCCCCGGTGCGAGTGGCCGCCCGCGGCCGGCCCGGGCACGCCCCCGCGGGGTGACAGCCACGGCGGGCACCGCGCGCAGCAGCCGGGGCGGCCCCGGACGGCCGCGCAGACTTGGCCCCAGCCCCCTGGCGGGGCCGGCCAAGTTCGGGGCGCGCCCGGGCTGCAGGAGGGTGGTGGGATGGGATGGGGGGCGTCTTCCAGGCCGGGGTCCCGGGGTGGGTGGGGGTGCGCCGTGCGCCTCCCGTCGGGCGGGGCCTCGCTGGCACCTGGAGCTTCTGCCGCCTGCCAGGCCGTGTCCCCCCCGGGCTCTTCCCAGAGGCTTCTTGGCTTTTTTTGGGGTGGGGGGACCGGGGGAGGGGGTGCCCGACCTGCAGGCAGCGGCAGAAGGGCACGGGAGAGGCATTTAAAATAGACCCTGTCAACAGGAGATTAGCCCCGTAACCCTGCCGGGTGAAGGCAGGGGCACGGGGTGATCCGCAGAAATACTGTTCGGGGCCGGACGTGGCCGAGGGCAGGGAGCCCCTGGTCCACGCGCCCCGGGATGGGTAAGGTGGGTGGGGGGTGGTGGTGGTCTCCAAGTCGGGTGGGAAGGGGGCGGTTTCTGGTTAGTGAGTTATCTGTCAGCGATCCCTGCAGAGGTCGGCGACATCCTCCCTCCAAAAGAAAAAAAAAAAGTTTCGGTCTCTGAAGCTCAGGCAACTCCAGCTCTCGCACCCCGCGCCGGAAGCCTCGGCGCTTCTGTGCGGGCGCAGGAAGCTGCTCCGGGCGCTGCTCTCCTGGCCACCCGAGCCGGGGGACCCGGAGAGCGCCCGGCGCTGGCCCCGCTGCGCCCCTGGGCCGCTGGGGTGGCCCCCCGGGGAGCGAGGCTGTCCGCATCCCTCCTAGTCGGGGACTGTCACCTCCAGGGACCGGCCCCACGGAGAGGGTGCCAATAAAATGCCTGATTGATTTCCTTGAAGGATGGCGCAGCGCTCCGAGGCCGCCACGCCCCGGTGTGGGGAGGAGGGGAGGGGGGTGTTTCTGGTCTCCAAAGGCAGATCCCACCAGGCGCCAATAAAGTGCTTAATTTCCCGTGAAGGCTGGGCCCGGGATTCCCTCGCACCTGGGGCGCTCCTTCTCGAAAGGAGGAGGTGCGCCAAAGTGGTGCTAATACGGTGCTTCATCTCCCCCCAAATCCCCGAAACCGCTTGGGAGCCCTTAGGAGCAGGGTAGCCTGTATGAATGCGGCCTCCCGGTGCAGTCGGCGAGAGAAAGGCCTGAGCAGTGGAGCTCCCGGGGCACCCGGGCGAAGGGTTGGCTGCGTTTTTAAGTGTGAATCCAGGTGCCATCCGGGGACAGACGGCTGCTTTTTGCAGGCAGCAGGTCCGCTTAGACAAGGGACCACCGACAGACACAGCCGCAGGCTTTCCACTCTCACTTGCCCTGAAGGGTTAGTCCCTGATGAACTGATGAGGCAGGCTAGGTCACCGGGTGGACCGAGGTGGAAAATACGGTCAGTGTCTCCTCTTCCATCGTCACCCTGAGGCTCTCTTCATTGTAGGGCAACTGCTCAGACGTTCTAGGACCATCAGAATTCTCTAGGGAGTTGTTGTTTTTTTTTGGGAGGGGGGGAATGGAAGGGGTCTTTAAGGTTTTTTTTTTTCCTTCAATTTTATTTCATGGCTTTTCTTGGTGCTTTTTCTTTTTCCTTTTGCTTTTGGACCACAGTGGCTGTGGGCTGTCGGTTTACTCCCTAGGGAGCATTCCTGGTGGGATTCGGGACCATGTGGGGTGCCAGGGGATGAACCCGGGTTAGTGAATGCCAGGCAAGTGCCTTACCCCCTGTATTATCTCTCTGGCCCCTGGCTTTGGTCTTGTTTTGTTTTTTGGCACATTTTACTTAAATCATGAAGCACTGATCTATAAAGGTATGTGCTGGGGTTCAAGTGTACAAAAAAGACTTCTAGGGTGATGACTAAGTGATGAGAAGTGCTTTGTAAATTTTAAAGCGCTGCGGAAAGCAAGACACTGTGACAAACGGCTGAGAACTTCATGCTGTTCGTTTTAGTGGGATCCATATTTGCAATTTAATGTTCACTTCGGGGCCTTTCTCAGCTCCAAAAGAAAACTCCCTGAAGAACCATGGCCTCTGTATGTGCTGGAAAAGCTATTGGCTCTCAGTAAAATCCAGATTATCATCTCGGATGCAGGCAGTAGAGATTATACTCTGTAAAACATAGCTCCTTTAAGCCCAAATGTTCTATATAGTGTTTTTTGGTAATTTCAAGATATAATGAAACAAATTCAGGAGAAACAATAAAGCCACTTTTTAATTGCCTTCAGGGAGCATAGAGAATTATCACTTGGTCTTCAGGGACCAAATTAAGGTAGGTTTTTTTTTTTTCGCCTACAGTTCTGTTGATTACTTGAATATTGTGCTCAACACCTTTTGAGCATATGGTCACATTCCCGACTTGGTCACTAATGAGTGTAAAGTATTGGCAAGAATCTCATGGTTGTTGAGTGGGTTTGGAGGCCAGCTGGTTCTGTAGGACAGAGACCACCATTAAGGGATTTGTTTAGGCTTCATCTATGAGCCAGTAACCCTGTAAAATGCTTTGTCACACAATGAGTTTGAAATGAAGTGTCTACCACAGAGGAGAAATTAAACCCTTTTTTCTGGTTTGTTTTTCAGGGGGTTTGGAAAACAAGGCTTCCAGTGCCAAGGTAAGCTGCCACTCTGGATTTTATTTTCCAGGATAATATGAAATAACCACTTCAGACAGTGTTGCACTCTTTAATTGATTACAAAATAAAATTGACTACATAGGTGGCTATGTATATTTTGATGGAGGGCAGTAAATTTGGGCCTTAACCAAAAAACTCCACAGCAATGCCCAGTAATCTGCAGATAAAGCTGCCTTTTACTCATTGAAGAAGAAGAAGGAAAAAAAAAAAAAAACCTTCCTGTAATTTTTTGCCAAGAACATTCTTGTCAGAAGCTGCTGTCTTTGTGTGGGTGTTTGGGGGAAAATGGGATCACTTCGTATTCCTGTGGCTTTTCCTCTTTGTTCCTGTTTTTGTTCATCTTCTTTACCTATGCTTTAGGTTGGACTCACAGCACCTAATTTTAGGCCTTGAATCATTCTGGTAAATCTTGGATTTGCTGGCCACGTGTCACCAGGCATCAGGTTTGCGTGTATTAATGGTCCCCTGCCCCCTGCGCTACCCAAGTTGCTGTGGTGGGAGGCACATTCCCCCGTTAGCTAAAATGTGACAACACCCGCTCTCCATTGCATCTGGATGGCAACTTAGTTTCTGTCCTCTGATTCCAAGGTGCACTTCAAGCTAGGTGAGCAAAGCTGACTTCCTAGGTGGTCTCTTCAGTTTGTTGAAACACTTGAAAAAATATTTGCTGGCCTGTGAATGCAGGACTGATCCGCTAACCTGCCGGCGGGTGCTACTGCTCACGGCCTGTGTGAAGTTGACTTAGTTTTGGTGGCGCTTCCTGTCTGGGCCAGTGGAAAAAAATACATTCTACCTGGAAAATATGCTCCTGTTGATGTTAGAGGCGCTCCTCAGGCCAGTGTATGTATTTTTTTCTATTCTTCTGGTTTTGGAGCCATACCCTGTGGTGTTCCAGGGGTTAACCCTGGCTCTGCACTCAGGAACCACTCCTGCCAAGCTCAGGGGATCATATGGGATGCAATGCCAAACGGTCCCCTGAGGAGTCAAACTCACATCAGCCACATGCAAGGAAAGCGCCCTTCGCACTGTGCTGACATTGTGTACTTCTAATCTGAATAGTGTCAGTGGGTGTTTTTTTTTTTACAGGTTTTCAAGATTTATGAATTGCTTTCTTAATACCTGCAAGAAAAATGTTCCTTAAATGGATTTGTCTGATCCATTTCTTCAAGATGTGTTCAAGATTGTTGTTTTCTCTTTTTTTTTTAATATATGTTTCATTTTATTTATTTTTGGGTTACACCCAGCAATACCCAGGAGTTACTCCGAGCTCAGCACCCAGGAACTGTGTGCGCATGGGTGGACTGGATGGGATGATGGGGATAGAACCCGAGTCAGCTGCATGCAAAGTAAATGCCCTCCTCACTGTGCTATCACTCTGGACCCTTGAGATTCTTGTTGACTAAATCATTGAGTGGCTCTGGGAGGTCAAGGGACAATCCTTTGAGAAGGAGGGGTGTTCTTTCTAAAAAGTCTTGGGGTGAACGGTGAAGGGCCATGCTCTTTGCTTCTCCCCATTTTGGACCTGCATTTGCTAGGTAAGGGTTGTGTCAAGGTGTGAAGGATTTTCAGGGTGTTTAAAGACATACACATATGATTTTGGCCTAATGTGATTCACATCTGCTGTTATTTCTGGAAATGTGTTTGGGAGGGGACCTTTGGAAACTTGCAAGAAAAATATTTACTACCGCTTCTAAATAATGCCGGTCTGGAGAAAATATTGGTTGTAAGTTACTTATGCTCTCAAACTGACGAGAGAGAATTTGAGAGAAGATTGGTTCCTTTTGGGACCAGATCAACACAGAAGCTTTTCTAGCAGGAAATGAAAGATTCAGGTGCATTTGAAGCCACCTTGAGGGACCTACTTGGTTTTCCCCCCCAGGGTATGTCCAATTTTTATGGGATTACCAGAGGAACAGACTCACACAACACTCCCTTATTCTAAGTTATACAACTGATGCTCATAAAAAATGGTAAATACTGGAGCAATAGTATAGCAGGGAGAACAATTTACACAGGGCCAACCTGGATTCAATCCCCAGCACCCCATATGCTTTCCCAAGCACCAAGAGTGAACCCTGAGCACTGCCAGGTGTGCCCACTCAAAAAGAAAAAAAAAACCCACATAAATTTGAAATAATAATCCTTTCCCTTCCATCCTTAGCGGTAACTTTTGTTTTCAAAAGATGTTGAGGCTTCACTTACTTACCAAAAGTATCGGGGCTGGAGCAATAGCACAGTGGGTGGGGCATTTGGCTTGCACGCGGCTGACCCCAGCATCCCATATGGTCCCCTGAGCACCGCCAGGAGTAGTTCCTGAGTCCAGAGCCAGGAGTAACCCCTGTGCATTGCCGGGTGTGATCCAAAAAAACAAAAACAAAACAAAAAAAATCACATTTGTTTGGTTACTAACATATTAGCTTGCATTCTCTTATACTCTTATATTTGGGCTTAAATGGCACCAGAATGAAATACAACAACCCTCACAACATACTTCCCTCTTATTGTTATGGGAAGGTGCTCAGTGGTGGGATTGGTGTTTGAATATTTTCTGTAATGAACTATTGTGAGCTACTTTTATGAAAATAAAATATATACAAAATAAACAGATGTTGAGAATTTATCCCATTTCAAGTATTCTCTCTTGAACACATACTCCCTCTCTTTTCTCATATCTAAGTAGGTTTCAATAAAAAAAACAAAACTATCTTCCTTTACTTATAGATTGGAGTTGTAAATCATTCTGTAACTGTGTTCACTCAGCAGTCTCTGGTCAAAACCATTCTCCCTTTTGCAGTTGTGCATGTGATAAGGCGAGCATTCCTCCGTTGGGTTGCAGCTTCCTAATGCAAATCCCACTGCTGCTATTCCCCAGAAGGGAAGCCTGGGGAGAGGCTTTTTACAACCCTAGAAGAGTGTGTGTACATTTAAAATGTGCAATGGGCTCAGCTAAGTGGCTCTCCTTGAGTTCCGTGTTGAATTTTTTTTTTCTTTAGTGTGCTTTTACACCCCTCTCTCCCCCCATATTCAGTGAATTACCATACTATCACTAATATTTGACAGCTGGGATTTATGGACTGAACAGATTAGCCCTGTGGCTGGGGCTGCTGTGTCCTATGTGCATTAGTGAAGCGTTTAACTTAAGCTCTTTCTGGAAAAATAAAAGTTTCCCTACTGCAGTGTTTTTTTTTTTTGTTTTTGTTTTTGAAATATCCAGTAGTGCTTCCTTTCCTGTGGCATTGAAACTAGGGGCATGGGGTGGGGGTGCAGTAATTCAGGTATAATGCAGGGACTGCGTGGCAGCTATAATGCAGTAGATAACGTACATTTGAGAACCTCTTCTGCATTTACAAATCCTAACTCCTAGAAACCACCTCCAGCCTCACCTTGCAGGCTACTGGCGATGCCTTGTTGTGTTTTGAAGCAGTGTCCTCTGTGTTGGACTTAGCGTACACTGCCTGCATGGTTTCTGGTCATTGTGACTCATAGAGGACCGTTTCCCACAGTGACTTGGCGGTGGGCTAGCGGCGTGGATGCACACAGCTGTTGTCCCAGGTCTCCTGTTTGGGCTCTCACCCCAAAAGGAATCTTCATGGCCCACCGTTGTTTGATAAATTAAAAATGGCTCAAGATCTTCACAGTTATTTCCCCTCCTGGTTCTGTGTGGGCTTGTTCTCCAGCGGGGGAGTTAACTCCTCGTCCTCTGGGTTTTGGAGAAGTCAGCCACCCCACTCACCGGGTGGAGTCTGGGCTCTTCTGTGGCTTGGTGGCCTCCCTGGCTGAGGGTATCTCCAAGTGCAGGAGCTTCTGTGGCTAGTGGTGTGCATGCCCCCAGCCAGACTGGCTCCGTGCAGTATCAGGGCATTACCACTAAAGAATTAGCCTCCCCCCCTTTTATTTTTTGCTTTTTTGGGTCATACCCAGCGATGTTCAGGGGTTACTCCTGGCTCTGCATTCAGGAATTACTCCTGGTGGTGCTTGGGGGTCATACCCAGCGATGCTGAGGGGTTACTCCTGGCTCTGCATTCAGGAATTACTCCTGGTGGTGCTTGGGGGACCATATGGGATGCTGGGAATCGAACCTGGGTTGGCCGTGTGCAAGGCAAACACCCTACCTGCTGTGCTATCGCTCTAGCCCCAGAATTAGCTTTCCCTTAGTGATTGAGATGGAAGGGCTAAAGAGACACGCTTCTCCTTAAAGCTGGGGTTCTAGTTGGTGCCACTGAGAAGGCATTCGTTCACAATTACTCCCTTCTTCCCTCTGTCCCCAGGATAGGAGACGGGGCTTCTACCCTCTGGGTGTGCACACCACTGTCCTTGCTGCTGGCAGCCCGGGTCTTCACTCCTAAAAGCTGATCTCATCTGAGGAGGTGACCCCAGACCCCTTCCCCCACACACACACACTCCAGAAAGGACTTACTGCCTAGAATAGCAGCACCAAGCTGAGGAGGCAGACGGCAGGGAGGGTACTTGCCTTACACATGGCCCACCTCGGTTGCATCCCCAGCACATCAGGTTGCCCTGAGCCTCACCAGCCAGGCAGGAGTGCTCCTTGATCAGAGCCTGCTATACCACTCCCCGGCCCCCAAAAAGGGCCGGCATCTAACCTCAGAGTATCAGCTCCGATCTGCCTGGCATGGGAGGGTTTCTGTGTGGAATCTCTGTGCTTGGTGCCAGCATCAAACGTGGGGCCTTGGGTGTTGTCAGGGATGCAGCCTGGAGAACTGTCTCCCCAGGACAGTCTTCCGCATTCCTTCTCCAGGTCCTTGTTCAGAGCCCCCGTGCATGCCCATGCATGGTCGTTCAAGTTTCATACGTGTCCCCATGGCCCATTGAGCTGCCTCCCTGGCCCTGGGCTTCAAGGCGGAGAGCTAGCGTTGGAGGGAGGAAACGCTGTTAGGCACTGAGGCATTCCAGAGAAGTAGGCCAGTTTGAGAGAGGGCGACCTTTCGAAGGCCGGGGATGGGATTGGCAGCCGGCCA